ATTGTTCTACATGTAGATGATGAGCTGAATGCTCTCTGCATCACGACATGCAGGCTGTTTTTGCTCATTTTTGTTAGGAAGTGTGTTGTTCCAACCTGGATCATGAGCTGCAGCACATAGTTTTATCATAGAGTTTTAAAATGATGTGCCTTTATTTGAAACACAAAAGTGAATGAAGTCAACATGAAATCCAAATATCAGAATGTCTAGCATCTCTGCATGTTKATCTTATAAGCACAACTTTAAAGAGGCAGCTAATTAGAACAATTAACTCACTGAAAAAAACAACAATATAATGTAATCTTTAAAAATGATTGATCATCTTATTTCTATTGTTAGCCTACTTTAAAACAACAGAGAATTAGTRTCACTAATAGGAAGACTAATTATTACTATTTTTTTTACAAAAGCTGCAGTGTTCAAATCATCCTTCAAGACTTACATAAAACAACCACACAAAAAATATCGCCCTCCTTGTGACTTTTGGCGAAGGGTGATAATTACTGTAACATCTCCTGACTCAAAACCCGCCGCACACTTAAATGTTATTTAGAGCACCATGAACTGATAAACGAAAAACCTTCAGGGTGTTTTTAAAAATGTACTCAGAAAGCTGGGATAATTAGGGCATCTTAAGAGCTGGTCTTATGCTAACATGTTCAATTATGTTCAAGCAAAAAGCAGAAAAAAAGTCTGCATTGTTACTTTAATAAGTWTTTTTTTTATTTACTTTTTTTTCCAAGTAATGCATCATCAGTTTTCCATAACTCAGCCTTAACCTGACAATTAAACAAACACCTTTAGTGTTTGAATAAAGACTGTGTGACTATGGTTTGTTTTGTTGTGCCAACAGGACAAATTACAGTAAAATTTGTCTCCTCTCCTGCCTTTTGTATCAACTGTTTTYAATGAAACACAAACGTATCATGCTAATTTACTTTGCTTCAGTCAAAAACAACAAGCTGAATCAGCTTGTAGCTTTGCATGAAAGAAGTTGTCTCCTCAGTGCCTCCCACTGACTGAAGTTCATTAAGGCTGTTTTTTCTTGTTTTGTCAGAACGTCAGCGGCTTTCATTAACATTGTAGCCAGAAACACTGCAACGGTTTTTAATTAGTGAATGCCAAAAGTACTGTTTGCCCCCTTTTTTTAAAAAAAAGGATGTGAAGGATGCAGAGGGCAGGAGAGAGGCTAAACTGTGAGAAATGAACACATTCAGAAAGCTAATTAAAAGGAAGCCTAATGAAACCGTTGCTAGTATCCCTCCTCGGCAGCCAGAAAATGCAGAACAGATTTTTATTTCTTAAACAACTTAGTAACAAATCAAAGTGGACAGATCACAAGTGCTGTGTGTTTTCTCCAACATGTTCCTCAAAATAAATGGCTCCGAAATGAGAGAGTGGCAGATTAATATTTGATGCGTGTGGAATTCAAAATGCACTGAAAAATAAAATAAAAAGAAAAGAAGAAGTAATGGTGGAATCGAAAACATCTATTAAAATGCAGGATTAGCTGTGCCATTTCTCCGCAACTTATTCCTCTCACTTTGTTTTTTTTTTTATCTTAGATTTTTTTTATCTGACTAAACAAAACTAAATCCACCACAGCTCACATTTCAGCTGTCAGGAAGTTCAGGGGAGGAACACCGGCACTTCTTCAGCAGCTTAAATATTTACTTTTGTTTGAAGTGTGAGAAGACAAGAGGGATAAGAGAGAAAGTGGAACAGAGGTTGGCAGAAAGGGTGTGAGTTGAGGGGATGTCGGTCTGAGCTGCTGTCTCGTCTGAACACAGCTACTTTTCTGGAGGTGACTTTTACWGAGATCATAATAAAAGTTACAAATTCTGCAAATTATGGGATAGGCTGATTGGGAGATTTTATTACAAAACAGTTTTTTAAAAGAATAAGCAAAGAATTCCCTGAAAAACACCCAAAGTGCATCAGCTAAAGGCACCATATCCTGTAAAATCCACTTTTTTAGTTGTTAAATAAATTTTGTTGCACTTGGAGTTTCTAGGTGCGCAGAAAATTAGAATTTAGTCTCTCCTGGTGCTGCAAAGATATCTTTATATTCTGTTTTGTCATTTTTTTCAACCAGTTTTCTCTTTTTTATGACATTTCCTGAACTTTTACATGAAATTCATGACAAACCTGCAAGACAACTTCAACTACGGATCTTTATCTTGAGTTGAGAGCATGAATGAGTACAATAAAAGACAACAATGAAGCCATGTTGACTGACTTTCTTTAGTCTTTTCACCAGTTTTGTTCATGTTTACTTCATGCGTCCCCTTGAAGAAATTTATAGTTATTAGAGGTTAGTACTGATGTTAAAAGCACAACACTATATTTTTA